TACTATCTACATACATCTTATAAGAGTATAATTAATATGTATAATATCAGTTAAAATAAGTGCTTCAACATAGTTAACATTGCAGGAAAGTTGATTGTCAAGTCCAACAACAAACTATGCAATACATTAGACGTTAAGTACTGTGTCAGGCTTAATATCTGTAGATACCCCCAAAGCTTTTTTCTTATTTAAAAGAAGACCTTAACCTTAAGCTTTGTTGGGTAAACTCCCGTATTATATCTGCTCTCTGATAACACAGAGAGTTGCAAGCAGCTATTGTCTGAGATCGCATGATGTAGTGTTGTTAGATGTGCCAAGAGCAAGGACTGTCTTAGGTAAGACAGCTTTTATGTGCGCAGCTCCACTTGCTTGGAACAATCTTCAGCAAGAATTGAAACTGAGCAATCTCATTCCTCTGCATGTTTTTAAAGCTAGGCTAAATGAAATGCTCGTTGATACTATGGGTACTTGTAAATGTCTATAACTATGTAAATGTATCCTGTAAATATAATGTATGATGTCCTTTATTGTTTTATGTTTCATGTGGAACCTATATGAGGCAGGTCTCCCTTGAAAAAGAGATCTATGATCTCAATGGGACCATCTGGTTAAATAAAGGTTTGAAATGAAATGAAATTAAAGTATTCTTTAATGTTTAAATAAAGCCGACCTCTGCAGCTCATCCAGAATGCATCAGCTCGTCTGGTCTTCAACCTTCCTAAATGTTCCCACACCACACCGCTCCTCCGCTCCCTTCACTGGCTTCCAGTAACTGCTAGAATCCACTTCAAGACACTGGTACTTGCGTACCATGCTGTGAATGGTTCTGGCCCTTCCTACATCCAGGACATGGTTAAACCATACACCAAAGCACGTGCACTCCGCTCACTGCGAGGGGACCCAAGTTCCCATCAACAAAAACACGTCGGTTTGCTATCCTGGCTCCAAAATGGTGGAATGAGCTCCCCATTGACATCAGGACAGCAGAAAGCTTACACATCTTCCCGAACAGACTGAAAACTCATCTCTTTCTATTCCACTTCGAGCAATAAAGTGAAGTGCTAGTGGATCGCCGGGGCTGTTAGCGCCGGAGCATCGCAGCGGGTAAACTGACTTTTAAAGATGTAAAGAACATCTACACATGCTTGTTGTAGTTGTAAGTGCAATGCCTTGCTGCCTGTAAACACCATCCTTGATTGGAGCATATGTGTGGGCTGGACCTGTATTTTACAGGAAATAAGTGAGCAGAGGGTAGAGTTGTCAATTATTTTTCTGTTTTCTGTGACAATCTTCCTCACCATGCTGAACACCCTCTCAGACTTTCAGTTGCGCGCGTTACTAAAGAGACGCGCTACCATGGAAATCAAACAATGGTGTAGCTGTATTAAAGTCCGAGTGGAAACAGTTGTGAGTAAATCAGATTTTGTCAGAAATCGGGAGAAATATGACCCCTGGGAGGAAAGCGGGAGAGGGCAATGAAATCGGGAGTCTCCCGTGAAAATTGGGAGGGTTGGCAAGTATGCCCCCCGTGTTGTCTGTTGCTTCCTGTCTCTGTGTTCCCTCCTGCCTGATAACCCGATTGTGTTCACCTTGTGCCCCTGTGTTTTCTCCTCCCTCCTCACCTGTGTCTTGTTTGTTTGATTAGTCCTGTGTGCATTTAGGTTCTGCTTTTTCTGTTAGTCTTTGTGAGATTCTTGACGTTGTTGGAAGGGTTTATGTTTTGTCTTGCCTTATTTTACTTTGTTGCCTGGCCTAGTTCCGCAATAAAAGTATTTTGGATTTCAAACAATATTCTGCATTTGGGTCCTGTGTACCTTTCCCTCCAGCCGCAACACTAATGTACTTATATGATTCGGTTTTCTTCAAGTTTGTAAGTAAGTAAAACTTTATTTATATAGCACCCTTCGCAACACGGATGTACATGTACTCTTAATATATGTATTTTTTCATCATATATAACATATTCAACAAAAAAATGCAATAATGTGCTTTAACCACTAGGTGTTGTGGGTTAAAAAACTGTAAAGTTTACAGTGTTAACACAATAACATATACTGCTGTCTCCAGTTTAGTTTATGACAGATGTATTTTGTTATCCACACATATATTGTTTTGATATTTGTAACGCCAAACCGACAGAAAAGATGGTCTTAACAAAAACATTTCAGTACACCAACACCAAGAAAGCGGCTGGGCCAGATGGGTGCAGCGGTTTTCTGCTGAAAAACTTTGCTACTGAGCTGACTCCAGTGTGGCAATCCATCTTTCAGGCTTTCATTGAAACGCACACCATCCCTCTGTCATGGAAAACTTCACACATAAAACCACTGCCCAAAATTCCATGCCCAAAAGAACATAAGGACTACAGACCAATAGCCCTCACCTCAATGATTATGAAATCACTAGAAATAATTCTGCTCCGATTTCTTATCAGTACAACACAAGACAAACTTGATCCATACCAATTTGCCTATAAACAAGGGTGCGGTACGGAAGATGCTGTGGCTACTTTGATTCATATCATCACTAAACATTTAGATAAACGTAATACCTATGCAAGAGCCCTCTTCCTAGACTTCTCATCAGCATTCAACACAATACAAGCAGACATCTTGGTGTCAAAAATGGCCAAAATGGAAGTAAATCCATACCTGATTTACTGGTATGCTGCTTTCCTCACTAGTAGAGAGCAACTTGTGAAGGTTAACAAAACCCTGTCATCTGCCATCACAACCAATGTAGGTGCCCCCCAGGGCTGCGTGAGTTCAGCTGTGCTCTTTACTCTCTACACTGATGATTGTCGTACCAACACACCAAATCAATTCATCATTAAGTACTCTGATGATACTGCAATAATATCTCTGCTCAGTAACACAGACGACCCTGAGCTGCACCAACAGACTGTAAATCAGGTGGTCGAGTGGACTGATAGCAATGCTCTTGAGATCAACACCAAGAAAACTGAGGAAATCATTTTTGGGTCACCATCTGACTCCCATAAAGTCCCCATTGTCATCCATACAGATTAAATCAAGCAGGGAGTTTCATACAAATACTTGGGTGTAATGATTGACCATCTGCTGTCATGGAAGGATCACATTGAATATCTGTGCAAAAGGACAAAACAAAGAATTTATTTTCTCCGCCGTCTTAGGTCTTTTGGGGCGAGCAGAGCAATTCTTCTGTTGTTCTTTACATCTGTGATCTTGTCTATTCTACAGTACTCCAATACTACCTGGTACAAATGTTTGTCAGCTTTAAAATCAAAACTGCTCCACCTGTTAAAAATCTGCTCAAAGATTGTTGGTCAACCCTGTCAGAGACTCTATGACTCAGCCTATCATAACAACCTAGTGAGGCTGTCCAACAACATAATCTCTGAGCCAAACCATGTTCTGAACAGTGAATATGAACTGCTAACATCTAATCGGAGATACAGGGTCCCACGATTCAATAAAGTCAGACTGAAGCACTCCTTTGTGCATCAGTCAATCCTCATAGTAAATACAGAGCTAAATCCCAGATCAAATGCACACTGAAGGGTCTTTGAGCATGTTTTCTCTCACTGATTGTGCTGTTATGTTAAATGTTTGTTGTTCGTGTTTCATGTATTTGTGTCTGGATATTTGTCTATGTTGGTGTTGGACATGGAGCTGCTGTGACGCAAATCAAATTTCAGACTAACTAATAAAGTAATATCATATTGTGTATCGTATTATGCCAAGTGGTCTAGTTAATAAAACATAATAATATCAAACATAATATTACTATCAACTTTATTGTGAAATTAAAACAAAACGGTAAAGAAAAATACAGTTTCCGGTGTCCATTGTGACGGCCCCAGAGCCTGTGGCCTGTTAGTGGTGTGCATGTGTGTTGCAGCTCACAGAATCAGCCCCCTGCAAAAACAGTGCTGGAGAACAACTAATAGAGCGAAATGAGGCATGGCTTAAAATCATGATCTGTTTGGTATTTTGAAAACAGAAACGTATAAATATACCTTATATAGGTATGGCCCTACAATATATCATTTAAATATAGCATGATAGGTCCACTTTAAAGAAAATTCAGATTTTACATAGTAAAAAACTGTAAATTATAGTGTCCGTCCAAAAATTATTTTTTACTTATAGTGAAAACTACCCTTGGATGATGGTAAGGTAGACTAAAAGCTTTAGGAATCCAAAGTACAACATATAAGTACCCTGTATCAAGATTGATGCAAAACAAGTGACATTTGACCTTTTTAGAGAGATTTAGCAAAAAGAAACCACTTCTGGGGTCGCAAAACCTTTTTTTTTTTTTTTTTTTCAAATAATTTTTTTTTTCTTCTCCATGCTCTGTAGATTTGTAAATGTAAAACACCATCCACAAATGCATTAACCCTCTATGGCATGACTTTTTATTTTGGGAGGAAAAAAATGTTTCACCATGTATTTTAGGAGCTTAGGGGTCCCTGATATTATATCAATTATAAAATGTGACCCCCCCACACCCCTCAACCAAGGGTTGGTTTGTTGCCTCAGGGCAACACTGTGCTACGAGGGTATTGAAACACCAAGGATTTCTACAATTCAGAAGAAATAGAAAAAACAACTCTATATGAATTCAAAAGGTTTTATTTGAGAAAAATAACCACAACTGGCTACAACATATAACAGGAACACATTTAAAAAAAATAACAAATAACATTTCATGCTTACATTTCATATTAACCAATGTCCAAATGTGTGTGTGTGTGTGTGGTGTGTGTGTGTGTGTGTGTGTGTGTGTGTGTGTGTGTGTGTGTGTGTGTGTGTGTGTGTGTGTGTGTGTGTTGTGTGTGTGTGTGTGTGTGTGTGTGTGTGTGTGTGTGTGTGTGTGTGTGTGTGTGTGTGTGTGTGTGTGTGTGTGTGTGTGTGTGTGTGTGTGTGTGTGTGTGTGTGTGTGTGTGTGTGTGTGTGTGTGTGTGTGTGTGTGTGTGTGTGTGTGTGTGTGACATTCTCACTCTGTGTGAAACCTCAGGAAGCAGTTGCTTGTGGATGTGAAGCAGAGGTGCACATCACATTTCTGGCACTTGGCTTTGGGTGTGCCTGTGCACCCGGGTACCTTGCATCTCCCCTTCTTTTCATCCAGTGCGCTGTGGCATCCAGGCGAACATCAGGGATCGGAATTGGAGTTGCTGGTCCTTTTCTTCTCTTGTCCTCATACTCACCAGCAATTGTGAGACTGGGACGACCTCTCTTGCGTTCCAAACTCTTTCCACTCTTTTGCAGACCTTCAGCAATGTATGATTTGAAGGTATACAGCCTCATTTGTTCCTTCCTGCTCATGCCTGTGCCTTCACAATCTCTTATGTAGAGCAGCCAGGCGGTCACGATAATCATGTCTATGAAGTGAAACACCAGCCGGTGATACCACTTCTTTGATCTGATTTTGATCCGGTACAGTGCAATCAGTGAGTCAAGCAGATCGACCCCACCCATATTCTTGTTGTATTCCTTTACAACAGCAGGGCGGGGGACTTTCATGATAAGCTTTTGCTTGCGATCCCATCTTTCAACTTTGTTGACAGGGTACGCTCCAGCGTAATCACTCAGAAGGCTAACTGTGCGGTTATCATACCACTTCACAACATGCAATGTGGTTTCTCCAACAATGGCCATCTTCTCTTCAAACGATCCACGTCCTTTTTTCTTTAGCTCAGCATCGCACTTTAAGTTGACGCCTGGTAGTCTGTTGCAACGAACAGTACCAATCGTGTGAATCCCCTGCTGAGCCAGTGTGAGCACAAGGGGGACACTTGTGAACCAGTTGTCAAAGAAGAGCTTGTAGTTCTCTTGCTTGGGTATAGGCTGAGCCAGGCGGAGGACAACATTGCCACTTGCTCCCACATCTGCTAGCTCAGGGGGGTGTACCGCTCTCCCTGTGTAAATTTCGAAGTTGTGCGGGACACCATCAGAGCCAGCCAAGACGAGTATTTTGTACCCCCATTTTTTGGGCTTTGATGGCAGGTATTGCTTCAGTCTACTTCTTCCCTTGAATGGGACCATCTGTTCATCAACTGCCAGCTTCTCACGCATTGGGATCGACTTCAGTTTGGAGATTAGGTGAGTGACAAGCGGTCGGATCTTGTGTAATGGATCATTATCTTCCTCCTGCCTGTCTTCATTGTTGCTGAAGTGAAGATATTTTTTAATGGCCTCCCATCTATTCAGGGTCATGGTGTCAGCTACTTGGGACACTCTGCAGGCTTTGTTCCAAAACATACGGGTCCTTGGTAAACCAAACAGTGACATGTACACAACAGTTCCCAGGAACTGCTCTAACTCTGTTGTTGTGAGGTTTAGGGGCTTGTTTGGGTTATTTTGCATTGCATATCAATTGGACTGCTGAACAATGATTTCTAGAATGTCTTCAGAAAAAAACTGCTTGAAATACTGGAGGGGGGAGAGGATTTCATCACTTCTCAATACACCCTGCCATTTTGGGTAAGGATTGTAGGATGGATTGTGGACTGTTCTCCACCGAGGTAGGCTTGGATTACCAACTTCGGCTACATCTTCATCTTCATCTTCCTCTTCATTGACAGACTCAGTGTCATTTTCAATAGACATGCATTCTCCTAATAGAACACAGGAAGCACAAATAGAAACACACATTTTAATTTGTTATTTACCTTTTTTCATCCAATATGCTTGCCAAATAAACACACAAACACACTAGTACTCTGCTGAATGATACTGACGGACCCCTAACATAACTATTTTTTCAAACCTGATCCAGGGATCCACTCTTCCTGACTATCTTCACCTTCACTGTCCTCACTCTCACTCCCATCAAGCTCACTGTCCTCACTGTCAGACGGAATAGCCCTAACAGCCTGATTGTGTCCCTTCTGCCCATAAAAGGTTTTGGTGTCCATTTCCTGTAAATATCAGTAGATGGTAAAGTAAAAACATTGACTGGGTTTATCATTTTACAGCTGAGCACATTTGCACACTTGCATGATATTGCCTGGAAAAAAGTGGTCAAAGTGGTACAGTGTTGCCCTGAGGCAACGAACACAAAAACATAGTTTTAGCAAATTAATAAATACATAATAAGTCTTAAAACAATCAAATATACTTCTTTACGTATTCATGCACATGCATATATTTGTTATCTTAAGCTGTATACATTTTTAATATGCTAACAAGTTAAATGTATCTTACCAAGTGGTGGTGCTGTTTCCCATGCGACTTTGCTTGCAGAAAGGACTGCTCCTCCCCCAGACAAAATGTCACACCCATATCATTCCCTCATTTTATTGGACGCCAGCATGTCAGGTGACATTGTATATATTTAAAAAAAAAAAAAAAAAAAAATGTAGAGGGCCAGTGTGAGGTCGAAAAAAGTGGTTTGTTGCCTGAGGGCAACAGTATGCCATTGAGCAGCGGTTTTCAAAGTGTGAGGCGCGCCTCCCCTGGGGGGCACCAGAGAGCTTCAGGGGAGGCGCAGCGTGAGAAAAAAAAGAACGAGAAAAAGATGAATAAAGTGACACTTGCCCACTTTTGGCTGTCTGTGGAGACCGAGTTCCCCCACCTCGCCAAAAACGCTGTAAAAGTGCTCATTCCCTTCACCTCCACCTACCTGTGTGAGTGGGGGTTTTCCGCATTGACTTTGATCAAAAGCAAGTGCCGGTCAAGGCTGCAGCCAGAGGATGATCTGCGTTTATTCCTGTGTGCATCAAAGACGCAGACTCATTGTTCCCACTAAAGTAGGGGTGAGTGTAATAAGGAGGCAAAGTTGACGTTCAGTGTGTTGCCGGGAGCATAAAGCATATATATATATATATATCCACGATGTTGAAAATGTTAAAAGAAAATATGTGTAGAGAACACCGTGCGAAAATATACGGGTCGTGCTGCAGCTAGATTTGCCTGTCCTCTGTAAGAAGGTGTCGGCGACTGACATGCAAGGAAGAACGGCTGTCCACAGGCTGTTCCAACTTTAACAACTTTATTAACTTCCAAGGTAGTGAATTGAACATGCAATTGTAATTGGGTGTGTGGTATATTTTCATACACGCACACGCATGTTCCACAACACACAAACTGAACAACACTCAATTGTCCGATCGCTACCAGTGTCCTTGCGATCTTGTTATAACAAGTGCACGTTACTGATGCAATATGGTTGAGACCATTCAGGCTTATTCTAGAGGGGTGCAAGGAATAGTCCAAGTAGTGGGGGAGTTTTATACAATATGTTTAAAACATAAAGATACAAAGGTTTTAAAAAGTTATTGTTTAATGTTTTAAGGAGGTGACGCTACTAAGCCAATCAAATTGGTGCAGTCAGTGAGTCAGCACGGTAGATTCAAACACACACAGAGACGAGACGAGGAGAGAAACAGTCGGAGTAATTTCAAATGGCGGAAGGTAGACAGCGAAAACAGAGCATTTAATGACATATTTGACATTTTCTCTTACTGGACCTCTTTGAAATGCAATTGAATACTCCTGCATTATAGCAACAACAACAATAATAATAATAATAATAATAATAATAATAATAATAATAATAATAATAGCAATAATAATTGGGAGGGGGGGGGCGCGGCTGTTCTTATGTTCTCTGAGGGGAGGCTCACCTTCCCACACTTTGAAAACCCCTGCCATAGAGGGTTAAAAGGATTTGCAAACTCAAAAATACATTTGCAAATGTAAAATGGATCTGCAAATACGCTATTATTACAAATAGTATTTTCACAAATTAAAAAAAAGATCTGTGAATATCTCTTTAACATTGACAACTTTCGATCAGGCATTTGTGAATCCATTTTGTATTTGTCAACCAAAAATGCGCTTGTGGATCTCAAATCTCTGCTTGTGGATCGTCTTTTTACACACACAGAGTTTTGAGACACTTTCTGCCGGTCTCGGCTAAAATCTACTCGTGTCACTCGGTTATTTTCGGAAACCACGTGATGGCCTGCTGATGACGACATTTCCGCATGATTTCAAAGTAAGAGCATGATGGTTTGTTTAATGCACTGTTTTGTATTTGTATAATGAACAGCAGAACGTTAGATGCATTCTTTATCACCATCATCATCATGTTATAGTGATAGTTAGTTTGTGTTAGTTTATTTGTTCAATACAGCATATATCGAGCACTTTCGTATGCATTGATGTTGAAGTAGGCTACAGGCTACGCCACTTTCGGGTCCCAGGGAGCTACAGCAGCGAAGCAGCCCCAGAGATAACTCTTTCTTCATTGTTTTTTGTGTATTCAGTCAAGCGGGTCAAAGCACTTCACATCTTATTAATCGGCCTAGTTTTACCTTACCAGTGCAGTGGTAAAGTGGTCTGTCTGTCTGTCTGTCTGTCTGTCTGTCTATAATTCAATCAAATGTAGCCCTGTTTTGACTAATGATTTATATGTGTACACATATGACTTAAATTATTCAATACATCCTTTGTACTGAAGTATTCAAAAGTAAAAATTACATGTTTAATATCAATTATTTGCTGTGGCCAATTGTTTTCATTGCATTTACAGACCCTTGTATCTCTCGTGATACCACCCAATGAATGCACAGACTTGCTTGTAGAACCACGCTACACAAAGCAGATAGCAACACCTATAAAAACTTAAGCATAGACATTTTAAAAAAGGGGCTACTGTATCGACATTTTAAAATTATATTTAAAGAAAAGGCCCTGACAAAACAGCAGGGCTCTATTTCAGTATTAACTATAGAAAAAAAGACAGCAACAGCTGACATCAAATCTTTGCTGAGCCCAAGGATAATCATAAATAAATAACCCTTGTGCCCTCCTCGAATTTTCAAACTTTCGCCACCTTTGTGGCAAAAATGTACACGCCCCAAAAAACTGCTATTAAATCATCATACATCAATATTTTGTTCTACTTTTTTGTACTACTTAAACAACTTCTAACGTACTCAAAACTACCAAACACAGCTGTACGTGTCTTTTGTGGTGTAGTTCCACACTTTCATCAGTGCTTTGCACTTCCCCTGTTCCACACGCAGTCTATTAAGTGACTTCCAGGTTGTCCAGCCAAGGTCGTGGCCACTAGCGAGGCTTTCCGTTGATGTGATTCCTTTGGTGGTTATTAGAGTCTTGGATATGTCAAAGATTAACAATAAAATTGATTTGACTGCATTAATATTTTTTACGTAGTGTCAGATATTACCTCTGGACACAACGCGTTAACGCAAAGAAAAATTAACGCCACTAATTATTTTAACGCGATTAACGCATGTGTATTTTTGTTTTTTTTGTGTATTTTTTGTCCCCGGCCGCCCCGTAGTTTCAGAGTGCAAAGCATTAACGTTGTTATTGATGTTGTTAGTTAGATGGCGGGAGATTCTACAAGCAGAGATATTCATATTATGGATTCAAGAAAAGGTATTTTAAACGGCAAGTTCAGCTTCAAAGCCCTACCAGATGGTTCTGTCGACCAGACCAAAGTAATTTGCAATTACTGTCGACGTGAATTGAGTTACCATAGGAGTACATCTAGTTTAAAATATCATCTGCAAGCCAAGCACACATTTGATGCTGACAGCCCCGCTCCTGCCGCCCGCTTGCGGCAGACAACACTTGAAAGTTTGCCGGGGAGACGCCTGGACACGTCAACGAGCAGCAAGCTCTCTACAGCGATCGCTAAAGGGGTGGCTACAGCTTGCAGGCCAATAAACATTGTGGAGGACGTGGGACTGCACATTGGTGTACGTTGGCACCACCTTCTCCCACCAGGCCGATGTTCTATTGTTCACCCAGAGAGAGCGCGGGACACGACGCGTTCCGTAGTATTCGCATATCTGGAACACATACAAAGACACAAATTAGCCCTACATAACTCCATAAATCCTACATTAGATAGTATTAATGTGATTTAATGAACGTACCATTGCTGTTCTTTGGGCGTGATAACGGTCATCATCCTCAGCTGTCCTACGGCGAAACATGTCCATAGCGTGTGCTTTTCGTCGTCCAATCCTTTTGTTAAGGCTTCTTAACCGCCTTCGCCTCCGACTCAGCATTTCTATTGCTTTGAATGGTCGATCTGTATTTGTATTTGTGGCTGAGTTATTGGCTTAAATAACTCAGTTACGAAGCTGTATAACACGACCACCAAAACATCAACTCCATACCGTGTCTGAGGTCGGAAGGTAAACAGAAGCATACAGCGGAAGCGGAAGTTTTTTTTCTTCTTCTTCTCTCGGTTTTTTTGGCGAATTGCAACTTTAAGGTGCATACCGCCACCTACTGTACTCGCCGTGAAGTTGTTTGCGGCCTGCCAGTAAACCCAAAGCAGAAGAAGAATAAGTGACGTCAGCGGCTCATTTGCCTAATCCACCCCCAGGAACTGATTTTGGTGTGAACGCGATCTGCTTTAGTTCATCAGAACTAAAAGAGCTCTCATGAACTAAAGTTCTCATGAACTATTGTGGGAAAAGTACTTGAACGCGCCTATTGACTTCTATTGAAGTATTCGATGTTCTCGCGCCCAGGAGAGGAGTTTAAAATAACGAGACTAATGGAGTCTCTGAAAAGGTTCAAATGGGTAGTTTAATTAAGTAACGTGGTTATAGAACAAGCATGGGTAATGGAGAGACAAAGCCGGTGTTGTCTTGAGGGAGGCTGCAGCGAAGGGAAGAGACTGAGTTATCTTTCGTCCTGCCTTTTTATCCACGTCTCGTTGTCCCCCGCTGTGCAAATAGTGGGTGGCCCCCTACTCATTTGCCGGTTCGATATCGCGAGAGCACAGATGATTTCGACATTGATATTCTCTGCCTACTTCCTTAAGCATTTTCTCCTCATTATCTCTGTCATGACTTTCTATTTAATACCTTATAAACAGCTGTAATACTTAGTTTAGAAGTCCTAGTGGTTCCGCTCCGGCACA